AGGCTGCGCCGGGAAGTAAACAAGCTGCGGGCGCGAGGCCCAAAGCGGATTGGGGGGCGTGGGGCTCCCGGCTGGCGGGGTTCGCCCGCAGCTTGTAAGGCCGAGGGGTGGACGGCGTCTGGAGGACGCGGAGCAGCGAGCCTATGTGTGCAGAGCAGGCACAGCCTCCCGAGTCGGCCCGCACGCGAGGGCACGCTCCTCGGGGCTTCTGCCTCCCACGGCCGCCTCCAGCTCCCGGGGCCGCGGGCTGCAGACGAGGCGCAGAGGAAGGGGCTGCTGGGTCCGTATTCCTGAAATTGAGTATACAGGAAACCTGCTGTTTCCTTAGAAGAGCCCATGTATTTTAGACCTAAAGGGCTGAACCCACTAACACCCACTGCCCATGCATAGCTGCTGAGCTGTAATCCTTACAGGAGCAGACAGCTGCGTTTCCCCAAGCAGCCGGTGGTGCACCAACAAAGCCAGCAGGGCAGCGAGAAGCTAAGGCTTATTGAAGACCTATATCGCTCCAAGTCTGAGGAAGTCAAACCCAGTCTAGACCTCTAAGGAACTTGCCTTCCTGCCAAGAGACCGAATGGTTAATAGGTAAACACACACCATTGGATCCCAGCAGCTACTTCATGTTATTAACATGTTGCAGGAGGAAAGTGAAGCTCACAAAGGCCTGGGATGGATGCTGGGTCTCGTAACTCCCCTGACAGCAACTAATTGGGAAATAATCCCGCAGAACCAAGATATACTGGAGAGGATCCTCACTGGAGAGTTAGAAGACAGTATGACCCATCGACAGTATGAAGTGTTCTTTACTCCATTTAAATGATCTTTAAAGGAGTGGTGGTGGTGGTAGTGTAAGAATCGCTGACAAGGCTTTTCTAAAGGTATCCAGAATAAGGGACTTGTATTTTTCGTTACTCTTATCTGTTTCCATGTTTCCTAACTTAAGGAGACATTGGCAAAGACTACATATGTGGGGAGGAAGGAGGAAGAAATGGGGAGCTGATATTAGGGGCTCAAGTGGGAAGGGAATGCTTTGAAAATGATGGCGGCGTATGTGCAAATGTGCTTGACACACTGGATGAATGTATGGATTGTGATGAGATATGAGCCCCCAATAAAAGTAATAATAAAGACTACATATGTTGCTGTTTGATACAAGGGGGCTTCAAAATGTTTGTGGAGAAATGGGATGAAAAGAAATGGAATGTTCCCACAAACGTTCTGAAGCTCCTCGAACATAACACACCTGTCATTTTAAACCATCTTTATAAGGATTCTGTAGAAACACATTTGCTGTGGCATGAAAATAATGGAATGTTTCAAAAGTGTAGATACCGTGGCCACAATTAATGTAAAACATGTTATTGTAAAAGATGAAATGCCCCATCCCTGAAAAAAAGTGTGTGTGGGGGGAATCCCTGGATGGCACAGTTAAGTGAACTGATTACTAGCTACAAGGTTGGTGGTTTGAACCCAGCCAGAGACAGCAGAAGACAGGCTTGGGGAATACCATGTGGAACGCAGTCCTACTCTGCACATGTGGAGCTGTCATGAGTCACAACTCCATGGCAACCAACAGCAGTAACCTGTGAACAGTGGACCTGTGGTGCCCTTTTGAATGGCTGCTGGGGTGGGGGTGGGGTAGGGAGTTTAACCCTTTCATGACCCATGGGGCATATAGTGCCCACTTACATCTTTCGTCTCAGGTTTGGTGGAAAGCAGCTACCCCACTTTTAGAGCATGCTGACATCCGGTGGGGGCCTGTGACTGAAGGACCGGTTTTCCACCGTCCTCAGCACCAGAGCAACCTGGGGACACACGTGTCCCATTAACTATCAAAATGCCTTATAGTCATGAAAGCACATGGTTTCAACAAAAAATGCAAAGCATAAATAATTCAATCTTAAGAGGGTTAGAAAGTGGTGGTGGTGTCTCTTCTAGGGACCCTAGCGGTGTGATGATCGGGCTGCAGTCTGCATGGCCTGCAGTGGGAACCGCCAGCTGCTCCCAGGGAGCAGGGTGGGGCTTTCTACTCCCAGGAAGACTTGCAATCTCAGAGACTCCTGGGGGCAGCTCGGCACGGTCCTGCACGGTCGCTGTGAGTTGACGTTGACTCGGTGGCAGTGAATGAGTGCCTATCTCCTCTGCATTGTAAGTTCAGAGCCAGGCGTCACTCGGCCGACGCACGTCCAGGTGGTGATTGTGATCAGCTCTGGAGTCATTTGCTTCACTCGAGATGGCAGAACGACATTGCTGACACTTCCCACTGCACAGTCGGGTTTCCATTTAAGGGGGGTGTGTGGGTGGGAAAACGCCGTTATAATAGCGTCAGCCCCTTCAGTTCAGTTTTCAGTCTTCTAGTGGAGATGAAATGCTGGCCCTGAGGGGAACCTGGAATGAGTCACAGGCCTGGAAAGTCATTGACTGGGAAAGCACTGCTCCAGAGGAAAGACCGTGAACATCCCTGCAGATTGGGAGACACCGCCTGACCTTTGACAAGATACTTTTTCCAGTCTCAGGTGCCCTTGGAAATGAACCTGTCGCTAAGTGCTCGGGGCAAACCAAACACTTTTGAGTGGAAGAACAATGGGGTCAAACTTGAAAGAGAACAGCCATTATTTACACTGCCCCTGAGAGTGAGCTCCCGTTTCTAAGAGGCCTCTAGGGTGGCATGAGCCCACACGGTACTTCGCCCACTTCTTCCTTGGCTCTGTACCATTCTTTGCCCGACCCCTGGTTAGTCATAGCATCAGTGAGGCGTTTGCCACTCGACCTTCAGTACCCTCCTTGGCCCCTTCTGGGCCATTTTCCTTACTGGTCGTTCCCATGTTTTATCTACTTTCCCTTGAGTTTTAAACCCATACCCGACTGTGCCGTTACTGGCCAACTCTCTCTCAAACCTTCACTCCGACCCACTTCCTCCAGATGCCTTCCTTATCTTGACTAGGTTGGGTCAAGGTTCTGGGAACTATGTGCTCCCCGCTCCCCAGCACCCAGTGCTGACCTAGTTATTCAATCACGAGTGCCCGCCCAACGCATTCACGATAAAAAAATTGATTAAAACAAATTCCGAGCGCCTGCACTGTAGCAGCACTGTATCTGTTCTAATGGAGGGAATGTGGAGTCCCCGTTCCTGGGAGCTGATTCCAATGCAGGGACAGCAGATTAAATATAGCAACCACCATGTTCTCATCCAGTACAGTGAACCCTCGCCACTTCGCGCTTAGACTTCCGCGGCTTCACTCTATCGCGGTTTTTGCGTAACAGCACCCACTGCCTACACCGGCTCCTTCAGAGGAAAAAGACGGCGACCCACCTGTAGAGTACATCCCTTAAGTCATTTCATAGGCTATTGATTACAGTATTTTTAAGAACTATGTATAATAATACTGTATGTGAAATATGTAAGACTGTAAACTAGATGCCATAAATAATATAATAAATAATAAATGATAACTGTAACGTCCAAAATGTTTTACTGTATTTTCCCTTTTTCGTTTAATAAATTGGGTAATACGAGTGTAATGGTGACTAAAGGGTGTTTTTTCATGTCCTCTATGCTCTAACTACGAAAATATTTGATTTACAAATAAGGAATCCTACTTCGCGGAATTTCATTTATCACGGTAGGGTCTAGAACCGATTAACCGCGATAACTCATAGAGGGCCTTCCTTCTCCAGGGACTGGTCTCTGCTGAACACATGCCCAAAGCATGAAGCTGGACATGGTGACCGCAACAGTGGGTTCGGGCTTAGGAGCCGCGAGAGGAAGGCGCAGGGCAGGGGGAGGGTGTTGTTCTGCTGTGCACAGGGACTGCGAACAGGAATCGACTCGATGGTGCCTAACACCACCTTAGCAACATGGAGGAAAAGGGGCCGAGGAGCTAGGGCGGGGCTGTTTCGGGGTAAGGTGACTGGCTGAGTGAAGGGCACGAGCTACACAAAGACCGGAGACAGTGCCAGGTAGGAGAAACGGCCAGTTCGGAGGCCCTGTGTGGCCATCCTCCTCACGAGGTGGTAAACTCCCTGACGAGGCGGCAGCCACGCCTGGCATGGAGCAGGGGCATAAACGTGTGTGGAATCACGGAGCAAACAGATTGGGAAGACGTACTTTGCCCACCTACACACGAGCTTTTGCAGTTGCTCTACTTTCAGTTTGCCATTTCCCCTTTGCCTCCCCAAGCGCCTCCCCCTTTCAAACACATTCCCGAATTTGTCTTCTCTGATGAGTCGCCCACCCACCCCCGTCCGCACCCGTGATCACACACGCCTTCCCTGACTGCCTGTGCACCCCACGGCCGTCTGCATAGCTGGGGGCACAGGAGTGGAAGGGGCGCTCGCTGCGAGAGGAAGCCACTCCACACCCGAACCACAGCCTGGGAAAGTCTGGATAGAGAGGCAAGGGCTCGAGACCCAGCTCCTCTTACCTTCCAGCCCTCAGGGGAGTGAAGGTGCCATGGCTGCACCCCCACCCCACTTCCCTCCCGTCCAGGGAGCACCAGTTATGTGCACTCAACTAGACTTTCAATGAGATGGATTGCACAGTGGCTGCCACAATGGGCCCGAAACATCACAACTGTGGGGATGGCGGTGTTGCGTTCTGTGGTCCGCAAGGTTGCTGTGAGTCGCGGTGCCAACTCCGCGGCACCTAACAGCAGCAGGAACAGTATCCTACAGGCTGGCCGTGCCAAACCACCCGGCGTCACTGTGGGGGCAGGTCTAGCCACCTGCTTCAGGAAGGAACATCCCAGGAGCAGTTTGACTCCACCACGCAGGGTCACCATGAGGTCCCGTTGTCCGGAGTGGGGCTGGCCTCCGGGTGGTGCCCATGATCTGTGCCAGACTTCTAACCGAGACTGGCAGACCCTCTCAGCGGCGGCGCTGCCGGGAATCTGAGCTGGTCATCCTCCATTTTCACCTTATGCCGAGTTTTGATTAAGGACCAGGTCACCCTCAGATCCCAGAGGATGAGGACGGCATTGCAATAGGTAACTCCCAAACCACAAGGAATCGTGGCCCAGCCAAGCTGACACGCAACCTTCACCATCACGGCCGGTTTACGCTCACCTCTCACACCCTAGCGCTCTGCCAGATAACACCGTCTTCATACAAGATAGCCGGAGCACAGACTTTCGTGTTGTCTCAGAAAAACCTCTGCCACCGAGTCAGTTCGGACTCATGGTAACCCTACAGGGCAGGGTAGAACGGCCCCTGTGGGTTTCCAAGACTAACTCTTTACGAGAGTAGAAAGCCTCATCTTTCTCCAGGGGAGCAGCTGGCAGTTTTGAACTGCGGACCTTGAGGTCAGCAGCCTGACTTGTAGCCATTACTCCCCCAGGGCTCCTTGTTCACTGTCTGAGTAGATGCAAAATGTCAGAGAACGCAGGAGTAAGTTTGTGTGTAAGCTCCCCTACCTGCTCTTGCAAGGGAGCGCTGTGGAGACCTTCAGGAAGGCCTTACCCAAGGATAGCACCTGACCCTACACAGGCCAGTCGCACCCCGGCCGAGATTTATACAGAGTTCTTTTTATTACCAATCAAAAATAAATTCCATATATTGTTTAGCAAATATTCATTGTTTTGTGACAAAAGACACAAGACTCATAACAACAAAACTCCCCGAGAGTCAAACTTATAACAATGCCAAAAAAAGAAAAATCACAAAAATATACAAATTAAAATCTTATGCAAAATAAATACGCATTATTTGCTATAGCGGCTGAGACTTGCCTACCCATCTGAATGCCGCTTGGGAAGGCCTCCCTTCCAGGGAAGACATGCAGGGATGGGCCGGTTCCGGGGTATGGCTCAGCCCAGGAACGGGAGGTTGGAATAGGAAGTGAAAAATTGCACAGGGAGGAGGAAGTTATCAGACCAGTAATATTTGGAGATAATTATGATCCTCTGTAGGAACTGATTCTAGGTGGGAAGAGTGGGGGAGGAGGAGGCGGGGCCTTCTGTTGCTAGGAACCGTGTGTGTGCCAAGAGGTAGCTGTAGAAGTGAGTGTACCTGCTCCTTTCACTGCACACGCACCCACCTAGCTTGGGCCATGCATTTTGCCCCCCGGCACTGAGATTTCTCAGTGACACAGTTTGGCAAACTCTTGCACGGTCACAGAAAGCAAACTACTCCTAGAAGAAAAAACAACTAAGGGGTCTCCCTCCAGGGGAACAAAGGTCTAGCTAGGATCCGTCCCTTGTGGCCGAAAGCCCACGAGCGTCACTACCTTCTTGCCAGGCTGTTACAAGTAAATGCTGTGCGTGGGGAAACCCTCTAACTGGCCAGGGACAGGTATACTTGGTGCAAAACATGTCCCGGTCCCAAGAGTTAGGACTTCCTAGGCACCTAGGAAGCAGAGCACTTGGGGGACAGGACCCCGTTAGCTGAGGGAACAACTGAATAAGTTAACACTCGGGTAGAAGGCCTGCAGCCTCCCTGGCCTGGATCGTGGGTCTCTGCTCCGTTCCACCCAATGAACGGTCCTGGTCCCACAGCCTTGCTACCAGCGCGAGGCCCGGAGCTGGCCCCACGGAGATGGCGCTGAGGAAGGATTTCACGGGGTGGAGCTCTGAGGGCACAGTACCAAAAGCCTCAGCAGAAGGCAGGCTGGCCTCTCCCGGCAGGATTACAGAAGTGAGGAAACGGGACTGCCAGTTATTTGCCTTTCAGGGGACGCCGTGCGAGCAAGGTTGGGCTAGCCTTGGCCAGAGGCAAGGGCATGACAACCTGCTCATGTTGGTTTTCAACAGGCCCCTTCACCCCCAGGCCCGAGAGGGCTTGTCAGTCTGGAAAGAAGGGCCACAGGGGGCCAGCGAAGGAGCCCCAACTTCCCTTTTTGTGGTGTGGAGGACGGGAGTGGGGAGCATCAGTCATGACCAATGCAGACGCCTGCATCCAGATTCATCCCTGGAACCGAGGAGTGACCCAGATAAGTCCCTTCAAACTGGGACACCTTCCCAGAGAGGGAAGCCTTTGGTCAAAGTGAGGGCCGGGCCTGAGGAGCAGGGAGCGCTGTTTAAAGGGATGAGACCCTGCCTGACGTTTTCAGTCAGCCCAGCAAGAGGGGAGGGTTTGCGAGGCAAACCGACGTGGGCACAGGAGAGAGAAGGCTCCGAGGAGCTCAGACTCGCCCAGAGAGCCCTCGGGTCCAGTGATTGCCATGAGCAGACGTGCCCCTCTTCTGTCGCTGGCTTACTGTGTCCCCATCACAATGATCCGGAATCCCTTGCCCTCAGCGATGCCACACGAGCCTCAACGCTTATGCCCAGGTATTTGTTCTTGCAGCTGGTTGGCCCTGTTTCCTGGGAAGATGGGTCTTCCTCTCAAGAAGCGACACTCCCCAGCTGACCTCTGGGGTGCCATCTCTGGAGAAGGAGCGGCAGAAGAAGGCTCCCCGAGTCGGGGCACAGACCGAAGGTCATGGCTGGGAGCAGGTTATGGCTACTGCTTCCTGGGGTGAGTTTATGGGGGCAAAAAAGAAAGAAACCTTTAAAAAAAAAACAGGAGTCCCTTAACTGTTTCCTTTCCTCATTCCCTTCCCAAAATGATGATATTTTAAAAGAGGAGCAATGAGCCTTGTTAGAAATTCTCTCAGTGAAAAAAACCCAAACCACGTGTGCTCACAGGAGCTGGCCCCCTGCTGCAAGCAGTCCGGGGCTGAGCAGCCGCGCTCGGAGCGGGTCTGGGTCCGAGGGCCCTGTCAGAGGGCCTGGTTCCCAGGGGCGGGGGCCCCTCTGGGTGCTCACGCGGCCACCACGCACGCTCTTCTGGCTTCCTGTCTTCATTCGGGCCCACTGGGGGGGCCCCCGCAGGGCTGGCGGGGGCCCCCGGGCCCTCCTGTCAGATGGCGCTCTCGTGGGAAGTCCTGTGCAGCAGGGAGTTGCACTCGTTGAGAAGGGTCGTGGTCTCATCCACCACGGGCAGCTCGGGCTTGTCTGTGCACACGGCGCACCCGCTCACGGGAAACTGAGGGCAGTTCTCCATGCAGGAGGCCAGCAGCCCATTCTGGTACTGCTGCCGGGTGATCTACAGGAGGGAAGGAAGAGGCTCACAGACAGACAGCACAGACCAGAAGGCAGAACGGATCGTGGGGCCCGGGCCAGAAACCCTCGGGAACACGTCTGGGGTCTGTGCCCTCCAGGCTGGGTGTGGTGGCAGAGAAGTGGCCGATTCACCAGGCCCCTGCCTTGGGAGGAGGGAGATGGCTCGTGCCAGGTGGAGGGCCCGAGAAACACTCACCTTAATGTACTGGAGGTCCGTGAGCGCCCGGACACTGAAGTCAGAGGTGTACTGGCCCAGGGGGGAGCTGCCAAACTGGACGTTGGTGGCTGCTGTGGGAGAGGTGCTGGTGACGTCTGTGCGGTCCGGGTAACTGAGAGAGGCCGAGCGGCTGAGGGCAGTGGGATAGGGTGCGGTGCGGTCTGTGGGGAAAGCGGGAGATGCTGGGGCCAGGTGCCACTGAGGCGCCCACACGAGTCGGGGAGCGGTGCCTGCACCCATCCCCGGGGGCAGGAGGTAGTTCTTAAGAGCAACCACGTGGAAGCTGTTACTGCGGAAGGTCTAAATTCTCAGAGCAAGGGGGTTAGTGTGTCATGGAAGACCCGCCGTGCAACGACAACAAGCACAAACCAGGGAGAAAAATCAAGGACTTGGAGAACGTAAGGCCATAAAGCCTCTCATTTTCCAACCAGCGGTCAAAGGCAGCGCCGCAATTTACCCTCGAGTGACGGGCCGTCTCGGCTCAGGAACTGCCGACGACGTGGGCATCTCTTGCCCACATCGTGTTCACGGTGGGGGCAGTGTGTACTCTGCCACTCGGTCCAATGCCCTTTGGGGGTCAAGACTGTGTCCTGTTCGTGGTTTGCGTGGTGGGTGGGCAACACAGTCCTAGCCCTACCCTGGCGTGTGCTGGGCCCCGGTGCCCGCTCACAGCACCTTGCTGATCTCTTCTCATGGAAGCAGAGGGCAGGGGTGTCCCTCTCCAACCGCCCCCCCCAGACAGGAAGTGGCATGTGGAAGTGGTCATTTATCCCTCCGCTGGCCTGGCAGAGGGGGTGGCTGATTTTTTTCACAAGATCCCAGGGGCCCCAGTGTTCAGCCTTCCCCCAGCTTTCTCTGGGCTCTCTGCAGACAAGAGGCAATGGGGGTTTGCCGCTCTCCCTGCCACTAGGGGCAGCACAGGCCTCCAGGTGATCCCAGCCCAGAGCAGGCGGCCCAGAAAGGAACCTTCACAGGGGCACTGTGCACATCACTGCACGTCGCCACCTCGTGTTGCCGAGACCCTCAGAGGAAAGCAAAGGGTGCCTGGTGAAGTTAAATGCAAAATCGTGCTCACTCACTAAAAGCAAACGAGGAGTAGGCGCTGCTTTGTTCATTAGTTAACGGCTAGTTGGCTAGTCTAACAAATAGCCCAGCCAAAATGGCAAACCATTTGAATTTCAGGCGACCGAGTGCATCTTTAGCTCAGTGAGACTGAACTGGTAAAACTCGCTGAACTTTAACAAAGCTTGGATTTCCATTCATAAACCTATGAAAATGCCGTCTGGCAAAATAATAATTTATGAATTATGAAGGGTTCATGAGGGAGGGGGAGGGGAGAGGGAGGGGGAATGAGGAGCTGATACCAAGGGCTCAAGTAGAAGGCAAATGTCTTGAGAGTCACGATGGCAACAAATGTACAAATGTGCCTGACACAATGGACGGATGGATGGATTGTGATAACAGTTGTACGAGCCCCCAATAAAATGATTTTCCAAAAAAACGCCATCTGGGGCAGCCGATGACTGGACATGAACGGCCATCAGCGGACGGGTCATGTGCTGTATCACTCATTCCAATTTAACACTCCTGGATAAGTTCTTAGAACACGCACACACGCCAAATCCTAGCTATTAGTTAATATTCCACATTAATTATCTGGAATGTTTGTAATGAATGCTTAGTCATACCCCCAAAATAGGAATGGAGTTTACTACCAACACAAATCAGTGGCCTGACCTACTAAAAACAGAGACCCTGGAAAGGTGTAGAGCCAGACAGGAAGCATCTGTTTCTGAGTGTGCCTTTCCAGGGGTTTGTCAGCTTGGAACCCCTGTTGGGATGGGACCCTGCAATTAACATACGGAACCAGACAGGACGATCGAGCGACTGTGCCATTGCTAGGCTTAAAGTGAGCCACCGCAGAGGCCTGGCTACCACCAGAAAGCGCTGTGCACCTTCAATCCCACCTAAACCCAGGCGGCAGTGCTGTCAGCAAGAAGCAGCACGAAGCAACAGCGGAGAAACGGCGGCCCCAGAAGCAGGAGCTGGGCAGCCATGGGCCTCTTGGCCGAATGGTGCGTAAGCGGCGAGGCTTGGGCGGGTGGTTTGCTGCAGAGTGGGTGCCTCCAGGCACTTGGTGAGAGAGTGAGAGAGCAGAGCCCTTGCAGCCCAGGGCAGTGGGTGCACATATAGGCACGGCTTTGTAACACTTGCCTAAGCAGGGCAGAGGCCAGTCAGCCCAAGAGGCCTGAGGAAGTGGAGGGGAGGAGGGCTCTAGGACTAGACAGAGGCCCGCCTCTGGGCAGGGCTGAGAAGTGGCTGTCGCCCTAAGCCGTTTGTGATCAGGGACCGTGACTCGTTAGTTCCTCAGTGGAGCCCTGGTGGGGTAGTGGGTTGCGAGGGGGCCTAACCGCAGGGTCAACAGCTTGAAAACACCAGTCGCTCTGTGGGACAAAGATGAGACTTTGCCCCTTGTAAAGATTAGTCTTGGGAACTCAGGGCAGCCTGCCCGTCCTACAGGGTCACTGTGAGTCGGCATCAGTGTGTTTGAGTTTCTGAGTTCCTGGAGTGGCCGGTCGTTCCGTGTGGCCCTTGATAACAGACGGAGCGCAGTGGAGCGAGCGCTGTGGGCGGGTCTGTGGGTGAGGGCCAAGTCTGACCTCCGACTCACAGCAATCACCCTGGGGAGTTGCTCCTACACTCTCCCCACTGGTGAAGTCACACTATGGCCACCGTGAGTGAGGAAAGTACGAGACAAAATACCCATTTATAAACTATCAAGGGCTCATGAGGGAGGGGGGAGCGGGGAGGGAGGGGGATAAAAATGAGGACCTAATGTCGGGGATTTAAGTGGAGAGAAAATGTTTTGAGAATGATGTACAGATGCGCTTTACACAATTGATGTGTGTATGGATTGCGATAACAGTTGTATGAGCCCCTAACAAAATGTTTAAAAAAAAAAAAAAAAGTACGGAGGCTTTACCATGTCTTCAAATGCCCCGTGGGCCCTGGTGGCACAGCGGATTATGCAATGGGCTGCCAACCTGCAGGTCAATGGCTAGAATCCACCAGCTGCTCCGTGGGAGAAAGACGGCTGTCTGCTTCGGTGCAGAGGTTCAGCCTTGGAACCCCGGGGTGCAGCCCTGCTCCGCCCGGCAGGGCCGCTATGAGCTACGATTGGTTCGATGGTTCGATGGGCAGCGGGTTTGCTAGGCTTTACTCGTTCTCCTTTCTATTTCCCAAGTTTCTAAATAGGCCTCTCTGTTTACGTTCCTGATGAAAACAAAATAATCAACGGAACATCGAAAAAGCAGGGGCCTGGTTGGGCCTAGTAATTTCACTTCTGGAAGAATAATCTTAAACACAGACGGAGGTTTAGGGCAGAAGGAGGTTTATAAGAGGGTAAGGAAAGACGGGCCTTCCGCTGGGACTATTCAGGAAGGGGAGGATCAGCAAACGCAGGGATATGTGCCCCTGGAACGTGGCGTGGCTCGGGAGAGGGAGGCCTGGAGAAGCACCTCTCGGCCCCTTAGAAAAACCCTCGGGACTCGGAGGCGAGAAAGAGAGACGAGACTTGTAGCACCTTTTGAGGTTCCTCATAAAAAGCAGGAGGCACCGGGGTGGTGTAGTGGTTACGAGTTGGGGGCCGATCCCCAAGGTCAGTGGTCTGAGAAAACCACAACCAGGGTTTTCCCCACCTGCAGGCACGCTACGGCCTGCGGGGACTCACGGGGCACTTCTACCCTGTCCTACAGGCTCGCCCTGGGATACGGCACGCACTCGATGGCAGTCAGCTTGGTTTGGGTTATAGACGGCAGAGGGCCAAAACAGAAAGGCATGCTCAGCAAGAAGCAAAACTACCTGACTGTATGAACCTGTAAAGATGAGGGAGCACTTACGGTAGCTACTGAGTGAAAGGCTGGCAGTTAGAAGCCGCCAGCGACTCCACGGGAGAAGAGTCATGGCCGCTGCCATGGTGAGGATGACGGCTGAGAAACCGTCGGGGACAGCGCTCTACGGTCTTGCTCCGAGTGGAACAGGAACAGGGAGGGATGGGAGGCGCCTGGGGTATTTGGTCTTTTCCTGAATTCTTCTGAATGGATTTTAATTCCATTATAATAGAGAAAATACAGAAACAATCATTGAGCCCTACCCCAAGGATAGTAAATGTAATTGTCCAATTAGTATAAAATGCTCCAACTAAGCATTCTATAGCAGTCCTCATGACCAGGCCTACGGCTCTCCATCTCAGGGGAGGAAGCCAGGCCTCTCGGAGAGGGCAGTGAGCGAGCCAGCACCACGGAGCTGGGATCCACAGGGCAGGCTGACTCTATGGCTGCTGGGCTGGCGGCCTCCCCTGAGCAAGAGACGCGCGCGCCGTCTGGGAAGAGAGCCGGAAGGTGTTTCTGAGGACGCCGACGAGATGGTGAGTCACCTGCGTGGTGGCCCCTTTCCTCCACAACACGGAGGGCACCAGGCTGGTGAGGGACCAAGAGACCTGCTCAGAGCCTGGAGAGAGGAGGCCCACGCGGCCTGGCCGGAAGCGGCCCTCCGTCTGTCTGGCTTCGAGTGAGTGCCTGCGTGCGCGGCGCCTCTTCTCACAGGCCTGAGGACCTTTGGGGAGCCCCTCCAGAGCGAAGCAGAGGCCCCCAGAAGCTGGGCACGAGGGCAAGCAGAGCCAGCGTTCAGCCGGGCCAGCCACTAGTCTGAACAGGTGGGGACCTTGGGCGGGTTAGTGCAGCTGCAGCATGTGGGGCAGGAGACAGGTGCCGGAGAGACCTTTTCCAGCCGTGCCACGTTACCTGAGAGCCAGAAGAGCAGGGAGTTCCGCTTGCCAGGCGGACACCCGGCCGGGGTTGAAGCCACTGGATCAAAAGAGGAAAACATCAATGATGGCAGGAAGCCACCAGCTGGCACGAGAACGAAGGCAGACCCAATGGGGCCAGGCCGAACTGGCAGAGAAAGGGGACGGCAGGGTTCTGCTGGGAGGGTAGGCGGGCCGAGCCCAGACAGTACCCAGTGCTCCGACAGGGAGACTAGAGTTTCTCAGGCATCCTCCCTGCCTTCCTCTAAGTGGATACTGAGAGCTTACAAGTAGAGGGGCAGAGCCCAGGCTTCGGACCCAGGCCCCAGAGGCATCCCTGCAGAGAATGAGTTGCTTGAGAACTGCCCGGACCTGCAGGTCCCTCCAGACAGCAGTGCCCAGCTGGTAGGAGGGGCGGTGCTCTTGGCAGGCGGGTATAGACGTGCTCTCTGGAGCTGCACAGGCAGCCCATTGGCTCCAGGCCCCAGCTCAGGAGCCCGGTTCCTCCACAGGGAGCAGGGGCAGGCCTCTATAGCAGAAGCACTTGAGCCGCCCAGGCCAGAAAAGCAGAGGGCACTAGGGCAGCCAGGGTAGGAGGCTCCTTCTGAGGTCTTTCTGTAGGAAGGAGCCCCCGGGCGTTGCTCAGTCAGCGCTGGACTGCTAAGCACAATGTCGGCGGTTCAAACTCACCAGCTGCCCCTCAGGAGAAGGAGTGAAGATTTACAGCCTTAGAAAACCCTCTCTAGGATCGGTGGCAGTGGGTTCAGGTTGTCTGTAGAGCATGGCTAACCTCTCTTGGAAGGTGTCTAGTCTCCACTTGAGTCCTAAGACCCTTCATTCCATTGCAAACAACCCTGAAGCCCAAGGCAGTGGCTGACCCCCCTGGAAAACTAACTCTCTGTCACCTGCCCCAGCCGAGAGGTTCCGGCTGGGCACCCTGCCTTCTGTCCGCATGGACTCTTTCCTCCCCTGACGACCCTGACCTCCCTCCAACACCTTCCCCGCATGGTCCCAGCTACGGGGAGCCACACCGGGGCTCTGCTGGCCGCGCTGCCCCATGCCCCGTGGCAGCTAACGGCTCCTCACTTCCTATCACATCCAGGGACTTTCTAGGGCTCCCTCACAGGTCCCTGCCCCCACAGTCCTCTTCCAGCTCAGGCAACCTGGTCTCACTGTGTCCAGGGCACGCACTTGGCTCGCTCCGGGCCTCTATTCAAAATCCCCTTCACTTCTCTCTTCCCTTCAGTCCTTGGGACTCCATCCAAAGAGACTCCAGGGTCCTGGCAGCTTCAGTCTCTAGCCGTGCCCTCCCCCCGGAGGCACCAGTACACAAAGTATCCTTGCCTAGGAGCCACTGCAGGCAGCTGGAGGCCAGCTGAGCCCGAGGGGCTGACTCACCCGAGGGGACCGGGGCCAGGGCCATGGTCCCGTAGTAGGAGAAGGCGCCCGTCTCAAACTTCATGTTCTCCTTGCCGGCCTCCACTTCCACCTTCCCCTGGAAGAGCACAGGGGCCGGGTCACAACAGGGAAGGAGGGATGACGGCATGGACACCGGCCGGCGGGGGGCCGGTGTGGCCGTCGGGGAGGGGCGCTGACCTGCAGGATGAGGATGAAGTAGTCGGCCGGCTTATTCCGGGTGTACAAGTAGTGGCGGCTGCAGTACTTGTTGTGCTCGTCAAACTTGAGCTCCTGGATCACATCTGGGTACTTGAGCAGCCGCAGCAGGATCTTCTCCGAGATGAGAGAGGGGCTGAACAGCGGCACCTCTGTGGGGACGGGGAGAGAGGACACCTTCACACAGGCCGGGCCTTCCCTGGAGACTCATCACTCGGTGCTACACCTCCCTGAGGAGGGGGCTTCTCGTCTGCCTGCCTGGGCCTGACCAGAGGCTTTCTGCCCTCAGCGTGTACGGCCTTGGGCTGATCACTCGACCGCTCCGTGACCCAGTTTCCTCATCTGTAAAATGGGAGCGGCCCACTTGACTTACAGCCAAACCTTCCAGCGCCGCAGCCCTCGGCCCATGAGTTCTCCCTGCAGGGCTGTTTCCCCACCAGCAGTTCGGTGTCTTCCCCGGTGCTTACCAGTGGCCAGGAAGCGATGGGCAGCCAGAAGCAGCTGCGGGGAAATCTTCACTTTGAGCTCGTTGTCAGGGTCCTTGAAGGCAGAGAAATCTCGCTTGTTCTTCTCAGACACCCGCTTCCGGCTTCGGTTGTCAGCTGCAAGAGGAAGAACTGGAACTTAGCCTGCCTAAGAACCCTTCCCTCTAAGAACCTCGGAAAAGCCGAGCACCCACCTTTCAACTCCCAGATCTGATGGGCTCTTCAACCCAGAGCAGCGGGCTTCGAGCCGGGCAGGGGCTCACAGGCCCAGAGGCTGGCAGGAGTGGAGGCGGCGCCTCCCTAACTAGGGCCGCACAGGCCACCCCATACCAGTGCCCAGCGAGCTCTGTTGCTGCTGTGAGGAGCCGCCCAGTGGGCACTGACTCAAATTGACCCCGTGTGCAGCAGAACAGAACACCGCCCAGCCCTGCACCTTCCTCACAATCGATCCTCAGGCCCATTGTTGGAGCCATTGTGCCCACTCGCCTTGTGGAGGGCCTCTGCCTATTTTGCTGCCCCTCTGCTTTACCAAGCAGGTGCCCTCCCTCCTCCAGGAACCAGTCTCTCCTGACGACGTGTCCCAAGTACATGAGACAAAGTCAGGCCATCCTTGCCTCTAGACAGCAAGTAAAGCAAGGCTTTATGAAATCCTGGTGAGCTGTAGTCAATTAATAGGGCCCTGCTAGTCACCATTCCTTCTATGCTGCTCTAGTTCTGGACTCTGAGCTCGTGGCTGTAGTCCCGTTCTGAAGGGCGGTTCCCACCAAGCTAATGGGAGGATTCAGGTGGGATTAGGACCTGACTAGTCGAGGGTGCGAACCCAGCCGTGCCCTTTGCTTCCTTGGGAACATCTTTCAGAAGCCACCTTAGCAGAGTATAACCCAGCCACACCCTTTGTTGCCTCAGGGGCATCTTTGGCTCTACCTCGGTAACAGGTGTGACTGAAGACACAGTCCTTGGTCTTCCTGGGATGAGACATCTATGCAGGTCTCACCCACGTTGCACTGAGCTTTGGCAGAAGCAAGAGCTGCTATGTCTTTGGGACCTTTTTGGCTTGGGGCTCTGACCGGTGCATTTGGCTCACCTCTGCCTGACCCTCAGACTTGGGACTAAACAGCACCCACCACCACGTGAGATTTCCTCCAGGTTTTATGAGTTTCTGTGGGACATTGCAGAGCCCAGAGATGTGAGGGGATATTCTCAAGGGAGGATGGGGAACAAGGAGGCCCAATAGCATCTTGAAGGGTTGGACATTTGGGATGCCTGTCGGCTACAATGCCTTGGGACTGTTGTCCTGACTCACAGCAACCCTGTGTCTAGCAGGAGGAAACACTGCCCAGCCCTGCTCCATCCTTATCATCGTTCCTGTTTGGGCCCATGGTTGCAGCCACTGTCAATCCATCTTGCCAAGGGTCTTCCTCGCTTTCGATGACGTAACCAAGCACGATGTCCTTTTTCAAGACTAGTCTCTCTCTCTCAAAAAAAGTCTCTCCTGGTGACACGTCCAAAATATGCAAGACAAAGGCTCGGTACCCTTGCTTCTACACGTCTGGCTGCACTTCTCCCAAGGCGGATGTGTCTGCCCTTCCAGCCCACAGTGCTTTGACGCTGTCAGTGCCATAGTTCAAAGCATCGACTCTGCAGGCTTTATACCAACTTTCACATGCGTGTGAAGCAACTGAACACACCGCGGCTCGGGTCAGGGGCACCTTAGGCCTCAAAGCAACATCCTTGCTTTTCAACAATGTAACGAAGTCTTGTGCAGCAGATGAGCCCAGTGCAATTTGGTGTCTGCTCTGTTGGCTGCTGCTTCCATTGAGCATTGATTGTGGATCCAAGCAAGCCGAAATCCTTGACAACCTCAATTGTTTCCATTTGTCATGATGGCACCTATTGACCCGCTGTGAGGAGTATGGGCTTCTTTACATTGGATTGCCATCCATCCTGCAGGATGAAAATCTTTGATCTTGATCAGCAAGGGCTCAAGGACCCCTCACTTTCAGTAAACAAGGTTGTGTCAACAGGTTCGTACCAAACCTTCCTCTAATCCTGGTGCCGCACACGATACTGCAGCTTCTCTAGTGAGTTGCAAAGGCAAGGTGAGAGAATGCAGCCCTGATGTATGCCTTTCCTGATTTTAAATCATGCAGTATCCTGTGGTTTTTGTTTGTTTGTATAACTGCTTCGTGATCTATGTACCAGTTCTGCATGAGCACAATGACGCGCTCTAGGATTCCCATTCTTCTCAAGGCTAGCTACAAGTTGCTATGGTCCACACAGTCAGATGCATTTGCACAATCAATAAAACACAAGTACACATCTTTCTGGTCTTCTCTGCTTTCAGCCAAGATCCATCTGACATCAGCAATGACATCCCTGGTTCCACGTCCTCTTCTGAATCTGGCCTGAATTTCTGGCAGCTAACGCTCTGTCATGCACTGCTGCAACCGTTGTTGGTTGATCTTTAGCAAAATTTGACGATCGTGTGGTATCAACGGTGACGTTCTACAATTGGATCGTTCTGCTGGGTCACTTTCTTTGGATCGCCTCCAGTCAGTTGCCAAGTCCGTGCCGTCCAAATGTCTTAACACAGCAGGCGAGTGCTTCCTGTGTGTCACCAGCTTGCTGAAATGCGTTCTTTGGTGTCCGTCAATGCCTGCAGTCTGGTCTTTGCCGAAGCTCTCGGTGCAGTTTGGACTTCTACCATTGATTCTTGCTGATGTGCTGCCTCTTAAAATGACCGGATGCCGACTAGTTCCTTCTGTCTCAGTGCCCGTGTATTTTTCCCATCATCTCTTGAGGCTTCCCGCATCATTCAGTGTTTTGCCCACAGAATCTTTCAGCCAGGCAATTCAAGGCTCGAGCTTTCCTTGAGTTCTCTCAGCTTAGGTCTGCTGAGGACGGTCGTCCCTTTCGGCTTTCTACCTCTAGCTCTTTGCACATTTCAGGAGACTTTACTTTGTCCTTCTTGAACGGCCCTTTGAGATTTTCTGTCCAGTTCTCGTCCGTCGTCATTGCTTCCAGCTGCTTCATGATGAAGAGCGAGTGTCAGAGTCTCTTCCGACGTCCACTGTGACCTTTTCTTTCTGTCCTGTCTTTTGAATGACCCTTTGCTTTCTTCCTGTGTGATGCTCTTGGGACGGTCTAGCACTAATCTTTTTTAAAGATTGACCACATGACGGTGCGGGGAGGCACTGCCCCGGTCCTGCACTGGGGACTCTCCAACCAGGGACCCCGGGGTTCAGACCTGAGCAGGACAGGGGCTCTGCACTCACTGTACATATCTGACTCGTCCAGGATCTCCGACTTGATGATCTCCTCAATGACGTCCTCCAAGGTGACCAGGCCCAGGACCTCGTAGAAGGGGTCACCCTCGCCCTCGTTGTTCACCTTCTGCACGATGGCCAGGTGGGACTTCCCTGTGGGGACAAGGCAGTGCGTCACACAGAGCAAAGGCGGCGTGTCTGGAGGCGTGGGGGACTCTTCCCCTTACACTTACTTCACAAAGTCCCTATTGTGAACAGAAGTGGCTTGAATAAAAGCAAAGACCAAGAGTGGTAGTATTATTTCTTCAAGTGCATTTGAGTTTGGACCACTTGTCTCATGGGATGGGATGGCAAGGCCCCGCCTGGTGTCACTTATCAGGGGTGTCTGGGAATCTTGGGGGATGGGCAAGAGCCATATTGACAACCTGGGGTGGGCACAGAGAGTCCATGGCCGGGGACCAGTGAGTGAGCTGGACAGGGGGCTGATACCGCCTACCCTGAGGCCCACGTGGCCCAGTCTCACAGTCCCTCACACACAACTCTCTTTGGTAGAAGTCCCCAGACTGATCCAGGGGCTGTCACACTGTCCCAGGCCAAGTCTCTCAGTTCCTAAAGCCATTAACAAATTAATGCAGAGCGTAATTAGACAGATAGGGATTACAGCTGGAGAGGGGTCGCCCCTCAATGTAAAGCAAGGGGAAGTTGTGAGGCAGAGAGGGTGGGGAGGAAGCCCTTCCACAGAAGCTGGGGGTGGCAGAGCTTCCCAGGTCCCTCCGCGTGCTTCTCACCCTGCTCCTCCTGTGCCCCGGGCGGGCAGGGCGACGGCCAGGAGGGCGTGTGGGGACCCAGGTTTGGAGCAGCCTAAGGGGCAGTCTGACCCGTCAGCCACTCTGCTGGAGAAAGCTGTGACCGTCAGCTTCTGTGAAGGTCGACAGCCGGGGGACGCCCACGGCAGCTCTGCCCTGCCGGACAGGGTGTCACTAGGAGTCACAACGGACTCCCCAGCAACTGGCTTGGGTTTTGTTTGTCTTTGCAACGGTGGCCCCAGAAATCCCACCACCGGGTGTGTGTCATGCAGCTATAAACGTCACACGAGCAGAAAGGATTCAGCCAAAGCCAGTGTGGGCATTCTTTTTAGCTTCCCCAAACCCGGGACACCATAAACATATAGCAGCAGGCGCACGTCCTGACCACGGGACAGCCTGGACGTAGGATGAAGCCAATACGCTGTTGCGTGAAAGAGCAATCGTGGGGCCGAGGGCAGGCGTACACACCACGGCATGTGCGCACACGGGCACGTGCCCACACACACGGGCCTCTGCTCGGGCCCATCCAAGGAGCGAGGCGATGCAGTGGCTACAGTCCAGGCCTAGAGGCCTTGATTGTCCTTCCTCTGGACCTCTCTGTTCTGCCCTCCGGGTCCACTTAAATGGGCATGTTGTCCTTTGATAATTTTCAAAAGCAGAGGGAGGAATGAGGTGAGAAGGACACCAGGAATAGGCCAGAGGCTCTAGCGTGGGCGGCCACCCTGCCTCCTACTGCCTCAGGCCCTGCTTCTGAGAACCGGGTTGTTCAGGTCATAGCTTCTTGCCCAGAGCAGATCTGGTGGGAAGCGGGAGGCACCAATAGAGGGCATGTGTTCTGCAGTGGAGCCCCGAGCAGGAGCCTGCCTGCCTGCACCCTGCAGCACCCCATGGCTTCTGAGGCGCTCCTGGGACCCACCGTGACCTGAGGCCGCCCTCTTGTGGCAGCCTGCTTCATGACAGGCACTTTCTAAGGACCTGCTGCCTCCGAGGCTGCCCCTCACACAAAGGTGCCTGGCTGGGGGTGAGTGGGGCTAGCTACCCAGGCTGAACCAGCCCCGAGATTCTCTCTAATGGGTCTGACCTGAGTGGGTGTCTTTTCTGGATGGAGCGGAACTTTTCCCTGCCCTGGTGAGGTCTCACCCTTGGATGACTTGTCCAGCCTCTGGCCCTGGCATTGGACCCTCTGCTCCTGGGAACCCTTTCCTGCTCCTCTCCCCTCACCCCTTCTACTCCCACCCCCCACCCCCCATCTTGTTCCTTTCCCTTCTCCCGAGCCTGCTGGGCGCACAGGGTCAGTCCTTAGACCTGGTCCCTGCCTGGAGCCGTTAGATACTAACTATACATCAAAGAGCCCAAACAGGCATTTCCAGCTCAGAACTGTCCCCCACTCTGCCTTCACATATCCAGCTGCTTCCTGGTGGCTCCACTCAGATGTCCACCTTGAGGGTGGCCAGACACTGCCTTGAGTGAGGAGAGGGTGGAGCTCCCTCAGAGGGAGAGGGGAGGGCAGGGGGGTGGATGGAATAGAGGGGGTAGTGGTGTTGAGGATGGTTGAACTGTTAATGCAGAGGTGATGGTCTGAAATGTAAACCCCCCAAAACCTAATTCACAATAAAATAAAAAATTCATTAAAAAAGATAGTGGGGGTTGGAGACGAGCCAGTCAGGGTG